TAATTCGCGGTTTTTTTTACCGAGGTAAGGTAAATAACACTCTACTCGCAGGGTATACGTACTTTTGATTGCTCTCACGAACATATTACTTTACGTCGGAGGAATCCAACTCGAGAATGCGCTACACGGATGATTTGTTTGTCGTCAGATTATGACAGGATATAAAGCAGATCTAGACGTTAAACAAAGATCTCAGGTACAATTTTTCGTTATTGTTATCAGTTTTCTATGAACTTCAGAGAAATACCTACATGGTTCATTCAGGCACAAATAATGAAGATATTACCACGGACATTATGCCAGATCACCTACTGACTATTTCCCCGCACAGTGATAATCAACATAATAAAGCATCGGATTTCAAGAATACGCTAAAAATATATACAAATATAAGTAGAATAAAATTAGATAAAACTTGAAGCTATAATATCTCTGTTTTATTTAATATATGATAGATATATATATAAATAAAATGAAAATCCTATACGAAAATCCAACTCGAGAATCCTAACTCGAAGGATAGGTATCCTCACTTGAAGTTACCCTCAGCCAATTAGTGGGGCAAAAGTTTTCGAGCCTAAGCTCATCATGACAATGCATGTGTATTGGACCTGTATTGTATATATTTTTTACGCCTTCAATTGTAATAAAACCCATTCAAACTTTCATGTGGTCATTATTCCGATAATGTTTGTTTTCAACTTCGTTTTAGCCTTTTTCAAACTTTCAAATTTCTGGTTTTTAAGTTTTTACTCAGAATGGTGTGAACGGAAAAACGATGTTGAGCGTGTCAATAATCCTGTGACCTCTTACTGTTGTTGTGTAACCTTCCGTATCAAGCCCGGGATCGATAAGGCGCAACAGGTCGCATCAAAATCATTTCCGCTCTTGATTTTAGTATTTTCTGATGTCAATCTCTTTTTGCCGTGCACAACTACGACACCGATGTTCTTCTAGGCCTGGTTATTGAGCTCGTTGTTAGAGAGATTGAAAGGGGAAAATACTGGGTACTTTACTTCCCTCTCGTGAAAGTAGAGCACAGCATCAGGCAAGTATAGTTTGTAGTATTTAGCATTTACGGGAGATTGGGAATTTATCTAGATTTTTTAACAGGGAGTACCCTGGTCCCAGATTTTTGATATTTTCTCTCTTCGATAATGTTTTTGTTGCCGCGTGACTCGATTACGGCGCTTCGCGGCGAAAAAAAATTGGAAATTTCGAATGTTTTAACAGTTCAGAAAGTGGGCATCACTGAAATTATTTGCCTCAAGGTCACTCAAGGCCATACAATGTTCTGACCGATCGCAGTGAGGTGCTATCAACGGAATGACCTACATAAGCCAATCGTACGGCCCGATCAAACTAACTCATGAAGCATTTTATCATATGTTCCAATTAAAAAGTCGAAAATCAACAAAAACGGCAAAATAGTGAACAAATCATTCCAATATTTCAGCTGAAGATTTTTATTTAGTGGAGCACGTGACGGATATGTTTTTTCCGATAAAGACGGGTCCTATGATGTAGATTAGTGATCCAGCAATTTGATTGGCTGATGAAGTGAATGTTATG